TCTATATTCTATTTACTTTATCTCTAATTATTAAAATTTATTAAATTCCACGTTTTATCGATAATTTAGTAAAGGGCATTTTAAAAAGATAAAAGGCGAGAGGATAAATTAAGGGCAAGGGAGAGAGATGGGATATTGAGAGATTTTTAAAGAGTTAAAATTTATTGACTTATTTTTATTATTGCTCTAAATTTTAAATCAGTTATTTAATTTTATTAAATTTTATTCAAAGAATGATAATTTAATATAACTTTAATATTATCCTCTATACTACCTTTAATTAATCCCTCTTAATCCTCCTTAATCCTTCGATATCCTCTCTTGATTCATCCCATCTCCCCATGAAATATATTAATGATTTGCCACACGGAGCCTGCTTCGAAGTTGGGGCTAAGATTTTATGGGGTCGCGCAATAATTTAAAAAGTGTCGGAAGTAGAGTCATAAAACTTCCAATACCAATTATTTTAGAGGGGATCTACTTTAGAAGAAAACGGTATATCCAATTCATTAGATAATATTAGAGAATCCAAAAGTAACAAATAAAATTCGTGGATAAATTAAAGTGAAGAAAATGAGGAGAAAAAACTACTAGATTATTATTACAAACAAATTATATTTAAATTTTGAAGTTTAATTAATTCTACATAATTTTCAGCTGAAAATGTTTTCCATTTTCTGGCTTGTACGCCGCATATAAAGGTAGCTAAAAAATTAATTTTGACAAGAGGAATTTTTAAAAATATTTCATAATATTCATTTAATTGCACTTTATTATTTTTAAGTATTATGTAGACAGTTTGTCGGCATTTTTATTTTGTTATTTTATTTTTCAGACTGTTTTTTAATTTTTTTTCTTTTTTGTATTTTTATTTATTGTGAAAAGTGTTTATTTAAAAAATAAATAAATGAATTATTTTTTATTATTTTCCTTAATTTATATTTAATTAAAATTCAAATTTCACAATTTTTTATAATTTAATTATAAGTAAATAGAATATTGGGAGTATACCGCCCATGAGGATTTAAATTTTTCATTTGCACTTTTATTGCTTAAATAATACTTTTTCTAATGAAATATTCAATTTTGTTTGCATATCTATTGTATATTTTAAGAAATTTTGCATATTTCAGTATATATTTTGAGCTTTTTCTTGGGTTTTGCGCTTAAAAAAATAAGCTTTTGCGCTTATTTGTGAGACCCTAGTTATGAGTTGATTACTAAATTTTCGAGAAGTTTTCCTAATTTTGGAACTATGAAAATTAAAAGAGGGTTATGTTTTCTTAACTTTTTGAGATCCTTAAATAATAGCTAATTTGTGTATCTCTTTAGATAAATTAATTTTGCTGGCTTAATCGTCCGTCAACTTTTATTTAACAGATGAGTTATCATTTGATAGCAAATAAATAAAGCTACAAAATTATATAAAATTAAGGATTCCAAATTAATTTTAGAAAAAATAATTTTCAAAAATATTACTAATAATGTCTCTTCTTAACTAAATTCCCGCCACTGTATGTACACTGCGTTCCAAAAGTATATGCACCCCCTCGTAAAATTTTTATTTAGCAATCAAAAAATCCAGAAAAATTTCTCTAAGGATATCTATCAATATAGATAAGAAATACAAAAGAAACGAAGTTCTAATATACTTCCATCACCGAGATCTTGAAACCCGAAAATCAACGGAAAACAAGGGGTAGACGTCTTTAAAAAATATTTTCGACCCCTTACAGGTAAAATAAAAATTTGATTTTAGGCTTATTTGAAAGCCCTTGAAATTTGCTACAAGATAGAATTAATTTTATTTTGCGAAAAAATTCAACTCCAAGACCTAATATGATAAACTTTCAGGTCATAAAAATCACTCAAACGCCCCCAAAAAGTGATGAAAATGTAACTTAGAAACTTAACTCATTATTTCTCAAAGATTTATTTTTTCTGGATTATGAGATGAAAACTTTCTTGTAGCAAATTTCAAGGGCTTTGAAATAAGCCTAAAATCAAATTTTTATTTTACCTATAAGGGGTCGAAAATATTTTTTAAAGACGTCTACCCCTTGTTTTCCGTTGATTTTCGGGTTTCAAGATCTCGGTGATGGAAGTATATTAGAACTTCGTTTCTTTTGTATTTCTTATCTATATTGATAGATATCCTTAGAGAAATTTTTCTGGATTTTTTGATTGTTAAATAAAAATTTTACGAGGGGGTGCATATACTTTTGGAACAGTGGATTTTTGCATGAATGTGTATAAAAATGAAACGGGATGGGGGAAATTTTTATTTTTTTGTTTAAGCATACACATTTATCTAGAAGAATAAGTAGACAAAAAATCTAATCAAAATAACAAAGAAAAATGTATAAAAAATCAAAAAACTAGGGGTGCATATACTTTTGGAACGCAGTGTACTTTATAAATTTTTTCTTTCCGCTGTTTTAATTTTAAAAAGAGTTTCAACATTTTAGCCAAAAAAGTTTTGTATATGTACATATCTGTATTCTTTTTATATTTTTTAAATGTTTCTTGTTAATTATTACAATTGTTTGTTTGAGTGTTGATTTAATAAATGTTGCTCTTTAGACATTATCAATTCTATATTAGCTATTTTCTCTATCTCTTTTATGTTTAATTAACATTTATTAAATTCCACGTTTTATCGATAATTAAAGTACATTTTAAAGAATCATGTGTGAGTGGAAGGGTGGAGAGGAGAGAGGGAAGGAGGAGGGAGAGGAGGGGTAGGGAGGAATTTTTAAGAAGTCAAATTAAATTTTTTAGTTATTGCCTTAACATTTAAAAAAATTTTTTTATTTAAAAAATTATTTTATTATTATATAAAGTTATCAATTACCCTTTTTCAAATAATTACCCCCCCTTGTTTCTATTAATTATCCCTCTAGCGATAGGTCGAAACAATAATTACCCATGGTATTTATTCAAGTTAATTGCTAAATGTAGATACTTGTTTTGGGGTTTTCTATTGACACTTTATTTTTATAAATTAATGTAAAACGGACGAAAAAGGTAATAAAGAGATAAAGAATTAGCACTGGTCCAATTCTCTAAGTATAAAACCCATAACCAGAGTTCGAACTCGAATTTTAATTTTCGACGTTTCTTTTTCCGTTGTTTTGATTAAGGAACATTGAATTTTTTATCATTATCATTAAACGAATGGAAAAATGAGAATAAGACTAGCAAATTATTTAAAAATTTTTTGAATATTAATATTTAATTAATTCTACATAATTTTCAGCTGAAAATGTTTTCAATTTTCTGGCTTAATTATTTTTTAATTATTTTTTATTTTCTGCTATTTAATGTTGATTGTATGTGGAACCGCTTTAAAGGAAAAAAGAAAGAGAAGAGTCTTTTAGAAGCTCCTTTACTTTTTCAACAAAATTATGAGGAAGGGTCATCGTCTTCAGGTACTCAATCCAATCAACATTTTCAACCCAATAATGGAAAGAAAATATTGTTGGTAACTGAGGCATTGTACCCACATTACAAGTTCTCTGTATGTTAAAACAAAATTAACGGAATATTAGTTCAATCATTCGTTTTTAGTTAAACCTTGCAAATTTTCTACATAATAAAGGCAAATATGACGTGGTAAATTAAAAATATTGTTTATATTTATTAGGTCGCGTCATAATTAGTGGACGTTTATTTAGATCCAATTTTTAGAGGTGTTGTTTTATATACGGGTGATATTCTTAAAGTTATGATTTTTTGAGCTTCACTACCTCGTAGTGAAATTCACAATCATTTACCCCAAAAATGTTAAATTACCAAAAATGCAACAAAAGAATCAAATAATCGACCCTATCTGAAAGTAAGGGCGGCATCCAATTTTTTCCATATTTCTAAAAATATTTATTTTTCTTATATTTTTCTCTCTATTCTTGATTTGTGCCGTAAGGTTATAAACGCAAAAGGATTATTTTTCCGTGTTGTCCGGGAACGATATGTGTCTGTGTGTGTGTGTTCAGTGTTGTCCGTGACCGATGCGTGTCCGTGTGTGTGTGACCGATGTGACCGTTTGTGTCCGTGTTGCCGGACATACACGGTCACGCACACACATCGGTCCCGGAAAACACGGACATACACGGTCACGGACAACACGGACACATCTGTCCCGGAAAACACGGACACACATCGGTCACGGACAACACGGACACATCTGTCCCGGAAAACACGGACACACATCGGTCACACACACACAATTTATAAGAAAAATAATCATTTTGCGTTTATAGCCTTACGGCACAAATCAAAAATAGAGAAAAATATAAGAAAAATAAATATTTTTAGGAATATGGAAAAAATTGGATGCCGCCCTTACTTTCATATACTGCCAAATAATCTTAATGATCTAAATGGGATCGTTGTCTATGCTAGACAACAAAAAATCTTTTTAAAATTCGACTTTGTGCCCTCCTGATAGAGCTTTTGAAGAGCTTACTAATGATATATCCGTTTTTTAATTTGGGTCTTTAAATTATCATTACATATACTTGAGAAAATTTGATTTTCGATGATTTTTCGATCAGATCTCTCTAAATACCCACCCAAAAATTCTCAAATGCTGGGATCTCTTAGAAAATATACTAACAAATGATTCGAAATAAAAATAAAAAATATTTTCAAAAAACTTAATTTTAAAAACCCGAATTAAAAAACGGCCACTAATTATGACGCGACCTAATAAAAGGTATTTCAAAAATACTGTATGGAGTAGATCTTCTCTTGTGAATAGGTCCTCTCTCGAAGGTGGTAGTGTTAGGGGTGAGCGGTTATTTGTGTTAAATTTTGGCCTTGCCTTTTTCCTGATTGTCTTTTGCGCTCACCCTTGGGTAGTTTCATGGATGCCTTATTAAATGCTTGTGGATAAATTACGGGAACATCACACTCAACTATCAATCAAATTTTAGCATTTGCTTGTGGTTAAATACGATGAAAGTGTTGTTTTGAGTCCACCTTTAGAAGATGTTCATATGATAGAAGTGCTCTATGAACAAGATGAAGAGTATACTGAAGTATTTGAGGCATTTAAATCTGAACCAAATTGGAAAGTTGAAGATAAAAAAGATGAGCATTACTTCTTGAAATTGTTAGGCTTTGATATGTACGCCGCATATAAAGGTAGCTAAAAAATTAATTTTACAAGAGGATTTGTTACTGGATTTTTTTCATAGCGAAATAAAATAAATTTTCGAACAAAACGGCGTGCTGGCCTAAATACCGAGAGCGACATAATTTAATTGTTAAGAGAAAAAGTAATAATTTTTAAGTTTTCTAAAAGTGTATCCCCAATTCTTCACGATTCCAAATTTAGTCCGCAAACTCAACTATGAGTCGAGATACAGCACCCTAAAGTTCGAATATGCAAATTATACCTCATTCGAAAGAGCTCGCCGGGCTGAGTTGAATGACAACAAAATCTGACTTGATTTGACAAAGTTATGACCGCCTATTTTTACCCCTTCCACAAGGTAAAAAAATTTGCCGCTGCGGAGGAAGCCGGGCATATCGAGCGGAACGACGGCCGCCGCGACTCTTGGTCATAACTTTGATCATTATCATCCAATCGAGCTGATTTTGGTGTCATTCAACTCAGCTCGTCGAGCCCTTTCGAATGAGCTAAGAGTTGTATAATCGAATTTTTCACCCCAAAAATCCCCTCATGGATTTGACCATTTCGAGCCCTATATCTCGGCTCACAGTTGAGTCCAAGGAGTCCTGCAGTCCTGCCATAGACTGGAGTCCTACCGTAGAGATTGGCGAAATTAAAAGCCTTTCTTTTAAGCAATAATAGAAAATCCTCAAGTCACAATCGATGGGAAACAACAAAAAATTTTTAATTGGCTTAAAATTATGAGACAACAATTTGTACTGGGTATTGCTGAGTTTTCTTATTCCTCTTGTGCAGGGGCATTTCCACTTTTTGAAGAAATTGGATTAAAGAAATATATAGCTACAAGTTCAACAATTCCTCTTCCTATTCACTTGCATTTTCTTGGCCAGAAAGGCTATTATTCAATGCCTGGTAAGCATTTATATGTATAACGGCTAATGAGTTATGCGAGTTTATTTCCAAAGACTTCTATCAATCCTTAAAATAAAACGACCCCATGATTCCAAAAGATTGAGGATTCTGTGTTCATTTTTGGAGCTGGAGCCGCCCGGAGGTAGAAACGCGGAGAATTGAGGCAAACATTATTTATAAATTTAGAACAGTGTTTTAGAACAATACAGGCCCAATAAAGTTAAATTGACTCAGAATTTATGTACCGTATAACCTGCATTAATTGCCCTCCCTCAAATAATTACCAAATTTCCATTAATTACCCCATCCAGCGATAGATTGAAACAATAATTACCTTCAAAAAAGTGCCCTAAAATGATTAATTACTCCCTTCAGCGGAAGGGCGAAACAATAATTACCCAGGGTAGTTATTAAAGGATATACGGTAATTATTTATTTTAAAATTAATTTATTCACATTTAGAGTTAATGAATCCAGAAGTGTATTTTAAATATTATGAACAAAATCAAGTTGAATATTTAAATTTGGCAAGGAAAAGGGCTTTGGAAAAGAATTTATTGGGGAACCATAAATTAATTAAAGTTGAAGAAATGCCAAAAATGTGGGATTTATTAAGAAAATCAAAATATTATTTAATAAATGTCCATCCACTTGGACAATTTCCCTTTCCAAATATTCCGAAAAGAATTGTTAATATTGGAGGGATTGAAGTAGAAATTGAAGGAATTTTGAATGAAATTGAGGAAAAAAAGAAATTGAAAATTGACTATGTATTTGAGTGGATTAAAGAGGTTTTTAAATAATATTACATAAAAATGCCGAAAGTTGTGAATATTTCTGAGCTCAGTTTCATAACAAATTTGTGAAAATTCATCAGAAATTATTTACTTTTTAAACAAAAAAATGCTTGTACTAGTTAGTTAAATAACGCAAAAGTCTATTTGGTGGTGTGTTATCAATTACACCACTCCAGCTAAAAAGGAATTAAATAGCTATACAGGGTGCGGCAAAAGTTCCCATACTTTTGTTAAGCATAAAATTTGATTTCAAATATTTTCTTAAATTTTATAAAATCTATAGAAAAATGTTTATTAATATCTAAGGAAAAGAAAGATTATAACAAATTTCCAAAATGTCCTCCCTCCGCCAAGATATACGCGTCTAAACGCTTACTGAAGTTGCCCAATATGGTCGCGCACTCAACCACAGTAATTGAGTCCCAGACCAGTTTCAATCCCTCTTAATTGCATTTTTTGATATAAATCGTATCCATGGATTCTCTGCTCTAATAATTACCAAACTACGTAGTCCATAGCATTCAGATCTGGGGAGTTACTTGGCTAAATGGCTTTGCCCCAAAATCTTGGAAACAACTCTTTACAGATCGTGGAGAGAGGCTTTTTTTTAAACAATTTTGGAAGCAAGGCCTTTCCTTTGAAGCAATTGCCTATGATTTTGTCTGTTGTGAAGACGGGGTTGCAACTTGTCTGGGATTCAATTACTGTTGATGAGTGCGCGACCATAGGGGGCAAATTCAGTAAGCGTTTGGACGCGTATATCTTGGAGGAGGGGGGATATTTTGGATTTTTGTTATAATTTTGCTTTTAATTAGATATTAATGAACACTTTTCTATAGATTTTATAAAATTTAAGAAAATATTTGAAATAAATTGTTTGCTTAACAAAAGTACGGGAACTTTTGCCGCACCCTGTATAGCTATTTAATTCCTAAGTGTGTTTTTAGCTGGCTTTACAATTATAATTTAATGTTAAAATCTTAATTAAAAATTTATTTTAAAGACTGATTGCTTTGTTTTGTTTTATACGGGTAAAAACTCTAAATTCGATGGATTTACTCAGAAACATTTTACTAAATTATTAGACATATTTTCAAAATATGACAACAAATGTAGATTTGTCGTTCACAACATCGAAGTATATCATTTATTTGGAGAAATAAAAAAAGATATTTCTTTAATATGGCGAAAAAATAAATATATTTTAAAAAATATATTTTTATACCCAGCGAATACAGTAAATCTGCATAAATTTTTGTGTAAGATTTTATTAAGGAATTTGTTAATATTTTTTAAAATTTTATATGCACTTATATATGGAGACGGATTATTAATAATTAGTGCTACTCGAGTATCGATGGGAGCAGTGCTGGGTATTTCCCATTTGTTGGCTCCGGCTCCGGGGTTTTCAAAATCTTAGCTCCGGCTCCAGCCCCGCCGGAGCCGGCTCCGGAGCTATTTCCCGGAGCCATACCCAGTACTGGATGGGAGATTTCGCTTACACCCCAAACTAAACTCGAGATAATGGCAATTTTTTATAAATTTTTTGGCCACTTGAATGTGTGTGTGGTTAAGTAGTTTAAGTTGAACATTCCACTTTTTTGACCATTCCGTTTCTGCATTCCGTCTGTCACTTTTTTTCTTCCGTTTTCTCCCACCTTCCGCTTTTTATAGTAAAATGAGGCAGGGCTACGCATAGAATTTCTAATTAAGCTCAACGTCAAACTCGAGATAAAAGTAAACTCGAGCTAATGGCAATCCCAGTTTTTCATAATCAAACAAATTTTTTATGTTAAAATTTTAGCAGTATTTTAACTATTTTTAGTAAAATTTTAAAAATCAACAAAAATTCACAAATTTCAGCACAAAAGAATATTCGAGGTTTTATTACTGCTGGTGATCAGAAATGCTTTAATCATGTAATTAACTAATTTTTTTGAAAAAAATATTTTTTGCGTCCTTCTAACAGTATTTGGCAATCCTTCGGAATTGTAGTCCCTACGGAAAATAAATTTAAAAATCCTGTAGGAATCTTTTGTTGGTAATTTTCTGTTGTATCCATGAATCTGATCTCAGATTTTATTTAACATTTGTTTTTATCTATGATTTTTGTATGAAAATTTTTTTTGTTAAAACCCATCACTGCCGGTGATCAAGAATACTTTAATGAAGTATTTAATTCCAATCTAAAATTAATTAAAATTTAACAGGCTCTCTATGCTGGTGTTCCATTAATTTTAATTCCCTTCACTTTTGAAGAAAAGTTTAATGCCAAAGTTGTTGAATATATGGGAGTTGGGATTAATTTTGATCATACAAAATTTCTTAGCGAGTTTACTTTTGCTGTTGCTAAATTAATGAGGTCGGTATTGCTAAATAGAAATTCTTCACTGTGCAATAGGATTGGGATCCCGCACTTTATTCTATTTGACGGGGTACTACTCTTGCAGAATTAGAAATTCTGACCGAGATCTAGTTGACCTTACAATCAAACTAGGGGTTGATCGTTCGGTTTCCCGATATATCATAAGGGGAGAGTCTTTATTTCGATGGATCTCGTCCTATCACTTATAAAAATCCTTTAAATAAATAAAGGTTTAATAATTAATTAAAATATTTCAGAGAAAATCACTATCAACCAAACTTCTTTATTGAAAACGCCAATAAAGTTAAAAAAGCAATCCAACAATTTCCTTATGGTCAAATTAAAACGTTTCTTGAAACTGTTGAGAAAGCTATAGAAGATAAAGACGAAGAAGAGCCATTCCCTGAAATGGCTGATAAATTTGAAGAAATTGGACATGTCGGAGGATTTAAACCGTTTTCGGTTGTTTTAGAGGAATTTGTTGATTCGAAGCAAAAATGAGAGAGAGAGATTCAAGATGAAGAAAGTAAAAGAGAGAAATTCTAACAATCCATAATTTTATGTAGTTTTATCTAATAGAGCTGTCCAAGACCAATAAATTCCCTAGGACAAAACTTTATCAGACTAGAAACCAAAAACTCGGGACTAAAAATACCTACAAGGCAAATTTTTGATTTTTATAACGTTAATTTTCGTTCCTGGGCACATTAGCCGAAAATTCTCAGCTTTTAGCTTCAGGTGGAGAAATTTCACTTTAGTTTGATACATATTTCGAATCTTTATTACTCGTTTTTTATCGCTTTGGGAGAATAATAGGTGCAAAAAGTCGAAATTATTTGTCTTTTACCCTTCCATGAGCATATTTTCTAGATCTTCAAAACATTCCACCCGAAACCCCCAAAGTTCGAGTCAGACAATGTGTCATGGGCAGCTCTATTGAATTAGTTATTATTATGGATGCACGTTATGCACGAAAAATCGTCAAGTATAAAAAATTGTTTTGGTCTATGTATGTATGTAGGTATAAATTTCATCATAATTGGATAACGAGAAGTAGGGTAGAGTGCAGAAATTAGCCAATATTGTATTACCATGGTAATTATTGTTTCAACTTCTCGCTGGATGGGGTAATTAAAAGTGAGGGGGTAATTATTTGAGAGAGTGACATTATTTCAGCATTTACGGTAAATAAAAATATTAATTTATTTAATGTTGTGAAATCATTTCATCAAAATATGTTTTATAAAAAATCATTTGGACGTCCTGACAATTTTCTTTTTTTGTAGAAAATAAAAATGTTTTAATTTTAATTACAAGTTTTCCAATAAAATTAATTATTGGGATTAGGAAAAATTGAAGTAGAGAAATTAAAGACATTCCAAGGAAAAAACTAAATTGGCCGCCAATTTGGGATATAAAACCTTGAATAATTTTTTTGAAAATAATTGTGAAATTCTTTAAAATACCAGGAAGTGTTGTAGTCAATTTTTCTTCATAAACTTCCTCCTAAATAATTTTTGAGATTAACAATGATATTTTTGATAAATAAATTTTTTGTTAGATTTTAATGGAAAAAACGTTTTTTGTCTTCTTACTTACCTTATTTACTCGATTAATTCCCCTCTCTCGAATAATTCCCCATGCTTCGGATGAGTTGAAACTAGAGCCCGGCTCGATACGATATTATTTTTATATATTATTTTTCGATATTATCGAAAAAATATCGACCGAGCTCTCCGTCCGGGCTCTAGTTGAAACAATAATCCCCCTCCCCCAAATATCCTCCTACACGTTCAAATGCCAAAACTCGAATAATCCCCCTCCCTTGAATAATTCCCCATCCCAAGGATGGGTTGAAAAAATAATTCCCTAGATGAATTAATCGAGTACATACGGTAATTATCTCATTTTTGTCACCTGTAAATTTTCATATGAAGCCTCCAAATGGAAATGAAATTTTTTGTTTTTAGCCCCAACATTGCTTCTTTGGTCTTGAAATTTATTAGAAAATAATTGTGTGTCAATAATATCACGTTCACACTTTGGAAGGCACTAGAGAATTCTTTAAAGGATTTTTTAATGAATTTAAAAAACACCTTAGAAATGCTCTGATAAACAGATAAATTATCAACAACATTCATTATAGAAAAATAATTGTTAAAAATTATTTCAGGATCACAAACATCCATTTTTGGATTTTTATGAGAAAAATAAAATATTGTACAATTAAATGGTTGAATAATACGTTCACTTAAAAAATAAAAAAAATATTTTAAAGAATTTTGTCCCATTGGATCTTTAAATTAGAGAACATGATCCAAAGATTATTGTAAATATAAAAACGAGAATATCATGTATTAGAAACCGGATTGAGACGGGATCTCTATCAAAAATATCTACTCGTCTCCCGCAAATTACTATTTCTTTGAAACTTCCGTTTTCCGATTTCGCATTATTGGTTTCTTCCTCCAATCCACCGTGAATATTTTTGATGAAATTTATTTTTTTCAAAAATTTTTTACTTCGGCATAGTTTTATTTGAAATGAAAAATTTATTAAGCCAACTCCCGAGTTAATTCCTAATCTCTGTCTTGTTTCCCGTCTTCTTTTGCTCTCTCACATCCTACTGTTTTGGAGACTATTTTAGGTTATTATTCAGTTTCTACGAAACCAAAAATCCCAGCCTTATTTATAATTATATTTTTGTTTGAATTAATGATTTTAGATTTAAATATTTAATTAAAAATTACTTTAACCAAGAATCAACATAACAATTCCCTCTCTTAATATATTTTTCAACGGGAGAGCAATGTTGATTTGGCTAAAATAAATTTATTTATTTTTTAAAAATAAATTTTTCCAACTTAACATTTAATAAAGAAATGTGTCTTTTCTTTAATCTAAGTCTATACCAATAATTATTATTCAAATAAAAACGCGGAAATGTTGGAATATCCTCATATTGTTGAGATAAATAGACTATTAATTGACGCTTAAATTTTTTTAAATATTTTTAAATTCAAATTTTTAATAAAAAATTAAAATTATTGTTAATTATAGATAATTCTTGATTAGTTCCAAAAATTGGTTATAATACTGGTGATGCGACTTTAGCGGCCCGTACATTTGCGCTCAGACATATGCGGTCGTGATACTTGCGGCTATCAACATAAGGCCCAGACACTTGCGGTCCAGACTTTTACGGTTTTGACATTTGAGGCTCCCCTATTATGACACTTGCGGCCCCGACATTTGCGGCGATAATTAATTGCGGCGAAGCTTGTAAAACCCGACCAGCTTTTTTCTGAACCTCACTAATCCCTGGTTACAATATTAGTATTAAGGTTATTTAATATTATTGAGAGTTTTTTAAATTTCGAATTAAATTCTAAAAAATTGCCTGTCTTCCAGTCACTGCTAGATAAGTAGATGACATCTCCTTAAAAAACAAAGTTAATTTCCCAGCCTCATCGGGCTCTGTTTGGGCAAAAGCACGCATTCTAAAACATCTCCCTCTAAGCATTACATCTTCAAAAAAAATTTTTCAAATTTAAATTAATTTTTATTCACAAGTAGGACGGAAAATATCGCAACACGGAATACGTCTCTTCCCATACATACAAGAATGGAACATTTAAAAATTAAAAAAATATTTATTAATTTATTTTCCCAAAAAACACCTCTTCACATTTAAATCCATTTATTTCAAATAAAAATTGGTAAAAAGCCAATTTTGTTCTATTCCCCCTCCATTGACTAATTAATTTCGTTAATTTAATTAATTCTTCCTTTGTAACCAAATTATTAAAAACGTCAAAATGTTGAAATCCTGCGCCTGCCATGGCATAAAGAATTAATTGGTTTGTTTCGTTATTTGTCATGTTTGGCAGGCGTAAATGTACATCTAGAATTTTATCTTTGAAGTTAATTTGTTGTACTTTTATTTTTATTCAGGTTGATTGATCAGGTTTAAAGCTTAGTGTTCGAGAGTTTATGTTTATTCCTTTCAATTTCGTATATTACATTATAAATTTTTAAGTTCATTCCCTTACACTACAAATCAGGATGGACTTCCCCAAAACACAAAAGCAAAGTGTCAAAAAGGGGAAAATATCCCAAAATGCTATCTTTCATCGAGTTACAGTGAAAAATAAGGGTGGTCTTATCATTTTGGAACAGAGTGTATGACAAAATAAGCAAATGTAGAAAATATGGAAAAGCTAGGACAAAAAATTCAAGAAGAGGAAATCCTAAAACTGAGTATAAAACCCTCACTACTACCAGCTTACTTAGCAAAGTCTTTTTAATAATTCATCCTTTTGTTAGTTTTAGTATTTTAATATTTATTTTAATTCTCCAAGTTTATTTTTATAAATTTTTATATTTATTTCAAGTAATTTATTTAAACAAAACTTGTTCTATTGCTGTAAAATTTAGTGAATCTACATATTTAGGGCATATTGTTATATTTGGGAAATATAGCCTTTTAACCTAAGAAAATTTAAAAAATAATTTAAAAAATAATATTTTGTATATACTTGATGTATTGTATTTAAAGTTATCTGAATTTTACGAAAAATTTAATTAAAAAAATTTTTTTATTCCAATTTACCACTCTTCTATCAACATAATCATTTAATAAAAAAACCGAATAATGAATTGCAAAAAGTAAAAAATAAAAAATTGTAAAAACCCAAATTGTCTTTTTTAGGGGTGTTTTTGCCTTGAAAATTAAAAAAAAATTTTTTTTTAAATTAATTTTAAAACTTGGAGGTATTGGTGAAATCCATGCAATTGATGGCTCCAATTAGCATGACAAATTGGACATTTGTGACGAAAAGGAAATAATATTTTTTGGATCCAACTGTTAATTTGCTTCATTTTTCGTCACAAAAATTAATTAAGAATCTTTGAAAAAAATTCTTTTTTTTATTTTTTCAAACAAATTTTTATTTTAAGTGTTCTTGTCACAAAATTTTTATTTTTTGGCAAAAGGCATTATATTTCACTCACATCTGCTTAAATAAATTCCAAAGACAAACAAATCTAAATTAGAAATAAAGATGCAGCTTTTTTTTTTAGGAAAATAAAATTTTAAGTAAAAATAAACGGGAGAAAAAGCTGTTATGTAAATATGACCATAAATTGCGAGGATTGAAATTTAAACTTCCATTTTATCATGTAGAAAGCGTTTTTTTTGTAAAAATTGAAAGACGAGCCGAACGGATTGATTTGTATTGCTAATCATCATATACAGTTACGGCTAAACTCCTAACCATAAAACCTAGTTAATAATCATTTTGTTAGTATTCGTATAATAGTTTCTATATCATGAATTAAACCTCCTAATTTATATCTACCAATAATGTTGGACCTATAATTAGAGTTGCGGCCCGGTCTGGTCCGAAAGATCGAGTCGGGCATCGAATTTTGGCCCGAAATAGATTCGACGCCCGACTCGATAAAAATGAGGCCCGAAAAAGACTCGGTCGGGCCGGCTCGATAAAAATGAGGTCCGAAAAAAATGACTCGAACATTGGTCCGACTCGAAATCGGCAACCCTACCAATAATATGTACATATCAACAATAATTTTTTTTAAATTTTATTACATTTAATTTAAATTGCTAAAATTAAAGACAAAATCTTTGCTAATATTTTTGTTAACTTATTGTATCCAAAAATGAATAGGTATCTTGAATTTACGTTCAGTTTTCAATTCCATGTGAACGTAAAATAGAGAGTAGACTTTGAACAAATTCTTTCATCTTCATAGCAAATCTCTCGCTTTCTCTCATTTTTGTTCCGAATTAACAAATTCTTCTAAAACAAATGAAAACGGCTTGTATCCAAAATATAGTAAAGACACTTCTTCAAAATTAGTAGGCATTTCAGGGAATGGCTCTTCTTCGTCTTTATCTTCTATAGCTTTCTCAATAGTTTCAAGAAATGTTTTAATTTGTTCATTAGGAAATTGGTCGATTACCCCTTTAATTTTATTGGCGTTTTCAACAAGTATGTTTGGTTGATAGTGATTTTCTCTAAAATATTTTAAGATCTTGATATATTTGTTATTTAAAGACAAGGTTTGATCAAATCTACAGGATACCATTCCCATTTTATTTTTTAAAAGCACATATAGAATAACCTCATTAGTATATAAAAGGCATCAGGGAATTCTTGAACAAATTTTGTATGATCAACAACAATCCCCACTTTCATATATTCAGCAATTTTGGCATTAAACTTTTCTTCAAAAGTGAAGGGAATTAAAATTAATGGAATTCCACGATAAAGAGCCTGTAGAATTATTAAATTTTATTTAAGATTAGTAAAAAAATTTTATTTGTTAAATATTTTCATTTCATAAAATTTCAAATTCAATATTTAAATACCATTATAGTCGTTATTAAATTACTTTTTACGATAGGGTGGCTAATGCCGAAAAGATCGCAGCTTCATAAAATTTTCAGATTATTCTCATAAATGTATCGATATAAAGATACCTACACGCATTTAATAGTAATGTAAAATTTACAATGGTTTATAGTTATTTGAAAACCAGACATTTTCAAATCCCTTTCGACAAATTGTCCGGAAAACGGCATTATCGTAAATGCTGAAATAATTACCCTGGCTAATTATTATTTAGATCTTTCGCTGAAGGGGGTAGTTATTTCAGAATATACGTTAGATTGTAATTAGATACCTGATCAAAGCATTTTTGATCACCGGCAGTAATAAAACCGCGAAGATTCTTCTGTGCTGAAATATGGGAATTTTTGTTAGTTTTAAAAAGGTAATAAAAATAATGTCGAAATTAAATACTCTATTTGAAAATTTCTAAATTCAGTTTCTGAAATAGTTTCTCTATATTTTAGTTTAGATATTTCAATGGAACCATTATCTTCTGGAAAAGAAAATTCTTTAATAAAATTTTACCCAAAAATATCTGTAGATCTACCACATTTGTGTAAAAATATATATTTCTGTAAACATTGTCTTCTAATTCCACTTGAAATAATGGATCATCTTTTAGTATTACTGATGGATAAAATCCGTTTTTGAGTTGAACAACAAATCTACATTTGTCATATTTCAAAAATGTGTTTACTAATTCATTAAAATATTCGTGTGTAAATCCTTTGAAGGTAGCGGTTTTACCCATATAAAATAAAACAAAGCAATCTGTCTGTAAAGGAAATTGGAAATTTGAGAAAAGTCAAAAATTAAAAATAAAATATTATAAGTAATTCAGCAAAACACAAAAATTTCTTTTAAAATTTCATTGAATTTTAAGAAAACTTCGCCCCGAACTTAAGCTCAAAAATATTCGCAAAATACAAGCTTATTAAATTATCAAAGAGTTGATTTTGGATTTCTCACTGATACTGAAACAGATCTGGCCTGATTTTTCAAACGGTAAAATTAACAGACGGCCAAGAAACCAAAATTTTATAAATTCAACGCCATAAGTACTAGAGTTGGGCGGGATCAGGATCCCGGTCGGGATCGGGCGGGATTATCCCGGTTTTTTTGAATCCCGATCCCGATTTTACGTTGGGATCCCGATCCCGCCCAACTCTAATAAGTACTATAAGTTTTAAAATCCTGAAAAGCAAAGAAGCCAAAATTGTCCATTTTTTAGATTTTCTAAATAATATAGGTAATAATCTAAGAAATAGGTTTATATTAGGAATATAGGTTAAAAATTATACTTAAAAGAAAAAGTTACAAAGTCGGAAATTTTCCAAGGAAACCATTACTGTATCGGCCTCTTAAAAGCATATAAATCCATAACCTCATACCAAGTCCAGTTTAGTGTTTTCTCCTCACTGGGTTTTCTCCTCAGAAGTCTCGGACTCCGAAAAAATCCGGCCGGATCTGGTTCGGCACTGTGTCGTATTAAATACCTTTTTAATCCATCGAAATACAGGTTCTTCAGGTAAATATTCAATTAGTTTATTTTTAAAAAAGCCAGTTATACTATGCTTATTTTTCTCTTTTTCTTCCAATTTCTTTTCTTCCTCAATCTCATTCAAAATTCCTTCAATTTCTACTTCAATCCCTCCAATATTAACAATTCTTTTTGGAATATTTGGAAAGGAAAATTGTCCAAGTGGATGGACATTTATTAAATAATATTTTGATTTTCTTAATAAATCCCACATTTTTGGCATATCTTCAACTTTAATTAATTTATGGTTTCCTAATGAATTCTTTTCTAAAGCCCTTTTCCTTGCCAAATTTAAATATTCAACTTGATTTTGCTCATAAAATATAAAATACTCTATTGGGTGCATAAGCTCTAAATAGGAATAAATTGTTTAAGAAGATTTAAAGAAAATTAAATTCAAGTTTAAAAAATTTAAGTAAATTTTTTGTTATTAAAATGCTGTAATTTTATGTTCACTATTCCTTAACTATAAATCTTAGAGGAGTGAGAGCATCCCAGTAGATCTATCTCTTGCTAATCTGTTTACAGCAATAGACTTATGTATATGAAACATTAACAAATTAGAAATTATCGCCGATTATCTCAATTAACCACGAAATTAATTATACACTTTTTCTGAAGAAATTCTTACCAGGCATTGAATAATTGTGTTTCTGACCAAGAAAATGCAAATGAATGGGAAAAGGAGGTTATGAAGATGCAGCTATATATTTCTTTAATCCAATTTCTTTAAAAAGAGGAAATGCCCCTGCTGAATAAGAAAACTCAGCAATTCCCAATGCAAATTTGTTTGTTGTTCCCATATGTTTAAGCCAATCAAAAATTCTTTGTTTTATTCCATAGATTTCGACTTTAGGATTTTCTATTATTGCTTAAAAGAGGGAAATTTTAAAAATTAAATTTCGTTAATATCTATTAAATGAAGCATTGGTTTTGGTTATGATTCTCAATTACCGGCATCCGATTCCAGATTTAGGAAATTCAGATCAAAAATCACTAGCTGTTCCCATTGATTACTATTCTTCTCTCAAAGTTTGTTTTCTTAACCTGTTATGTATTGCACTTATAAGTATAAATTCTATACGTATACATCAGGGATGGATTTTCTTCAGCTTCCGTCTTCCGCTTTTTAAAATTAAAAATTATCCATCCCTAGTATACATCCAGATAGTAAATTTAACTATTTTAAATAACGAATAAAATTGATGAGAGTAGTCTATTCCCAATAATATACACCTTCCAAATTTATGTTAAAAATTCACACACGCTGTAAACCAGTCCTTCCAGTTCAGTCCTAACAATGTGACAGGCTATAAGCTAACCTTTATATATGCCATACATATAAAATCCTAGCACTTTTAAGGCGTGATGATCATCTTTTTTATCTTTAACTAACCAATTAGTTTCAGATTTATTTGTACCAAATACTTGTGAATACTCTCCTTCACATTCTATATAAGGTACCTCTATTAATCGAACACCTTTTAAAGGTTTCTTCAAAATTTTATTTTCACTGTATTTAACCACAAGCAAATACTAAAATTCACAAAGTAAAATTTCTGAAATGGGGAATTCGAAAGGAGTTATGTAAACAGGGATGTTTTTCGCATTTATCGATAATAACATTTAACTCCATCCTCTAATATACATAGTTTAGAGTAGGGTATTACTTTGGTAATTATTTTGGTAATCAGCACCATAACTTTCCTTATAAAATAGTTTTTTGCTAAGAATTAGCTCAAAAATTTTGAGTCGAAATTCAAATTCTATGCAAGTTCGACACTCTGTATTAAGGATTACTTTAAAGATAAATTGAAGACCTTGGCCCTTCTCGCCACTACCAAGATAAATTTTTTTATAAATTTTTCTGAGCTTAAAGACTCTTAAAAGGCCCGTCCTAATCATCAATAGTCTAATTTTAGAAAACATGTTATTCATATTTTATATTAAGAATATTTTTAATTTACCACGTCATAATTGCCTTTGTAACAAAGAGCATTTGCAAGGTTTAACTAAAAATTAGAGGTTAAAATAAATATTTTTTTAACTTACGAAAAAATCATAATATTGATAAAAAGCCTCAGCTACTAGCAATATTTTCTTTCCATTATTTATTTTAGTTGAGATTTGTTGATTGGATTGAATATTACTTGAAGAAGATGATGGACCTTCCTCGTAATTTTGTTGAGAAAGTAAAGGGGTTTTACTATCTTCTCCTTTAGAGAAGTTCCACATACAATCAACATTGGACAGAAAATAAAAAAGAATTAAAAAATAATTAAGCCAAAAAATGGAAAACATTTTCAACTAAAATTATAAATTGAATATTTAAATTCAAAAATTTTGAAATAATTTGTTAGTAATTAAGTCTAGTGTTTTCTCCTCATTTTTTGACTTTCGTTTAATAACAATAAAAATACATTTTTTGGAAAAAAATTTCAAAACTTTCAAAAAGTTTTAATGCTCAAGTCTAATTACCTAAATTAAAATTTTTTCTCGACTTCTTTAACTTAAAACATTTTATATTAATTATATGTACTTAATTATTTAATTTAATCATTAATATTTAAAGAAGATTTAATAAAAAATTTTAAAAGTTTTACTCAAATTGAGATTAAAGAAAATAATACTTAATTAAAATAAATAGATATAAGCCAATAAATAATATATTTAAATTATTTTTTAATTATGCACTTTAATAAAGCTTAATAAATCAAAATACAAAAAAGAAAAGTGCAAAAAATTTAAAGACTGTCTAAAAATAAATTATCAAATAAAAAACCGACAGCAATTTTTAAAAGTGCAATTAAATAATTATATTTTTATTATGTAATTAAAATATTATGAAATAATTTTTTAAATAAATTTAAATTATTAAAATATTTAAAAATTATATTTAATCAAAGCCAAAACATGCAAATTACAAAACCGAAAAGCGGAAAAGAATGTCCGGAAAGGAGTTGATTTGACTTTTAAGTTTTGTTTAGGTTCGATCTAAGTATGGCGGTTCCTGGGAAATTTCCGGATATCCGGAAACAGTATCCGAACCTAAAATTTCCGGATATCCGGGGTTTTTTTCGGTTCCGGATACCGGAGCCTCCCACTTCAGTTCGATCCCCGTGCCTCTCCCTCGCGAGGAATGGAGAAAAATTTACACTATGCAATCGGCCTTTTTTATATTATGGTTGACATTTTGACCTTGTTTTAATTTTTACAGCGAAATGACAGTATATTTTAGTTAACCAGATGAAGAAGTTGAATTAACTGATAATGATGATTAAAGAATTGTTTATTTATTAAATAATTAATATTTCTTCAGAAATAATTAAAATAACTTTTTAACTAATTTTATTCAAATTCGAGTTACTTTGTGTTAAAAAAATCCCCCGGGGAATTCCCTGGTGGTATCTCGCGGAAGTCCTCCCCGCACGTTCCCCGTAAACTCAGCCCCAGCAGGTAATATCGAACTCTAGTTTTGTTATGATTTACAAATCTAAGGACGAGCACATTTGCTCGTATATAAAAAGAAAAAAACGGAAAAAAATTAAAAAAACAGTCTAAAATTTAAAATAACAAAATAAAAATGCCGACTAATTATGTAACTGTCTAATATTTAAAAATAATAAAGTGCATTTAAATGAATGTATCAGGGATCGCGCCGATCCGATTTCCGACGATTTTTGGCTCGTGGATTCCCGATTCACGAAAATCAGGAATTTGCTTTTTTGTCAGCGCGATCTTGGAATGTATATTATGAAATATTATAAAAAATATGAAATATTTAATTTCTAATTTTTTAGATAGCTACTAGAGATCGAGATTTTTGAAAAGCCTGGGCCTGTTCCTGGGTTCCGGGTTTGATCTATTGACCTGGGCCGGATCCTGGGCCTGTAGTCCAGGAAAAACCCAGGCCCAGAAAAAACCCAGGAAGGTCTCAAATGCCTGGGCCTGGACTCTGGGTACAGGAAAAACCCAGGCCTTGGTCCAGGCCCAGCTCGATCTCTAATAGCTACATACATGAAATTGTTAATCATCTAAAATATAAAGTCAGATTTAGATTTTACGTACACTAAACTGTTATAATTTAGGTTGACACAAATTTTTCAACCCCATAGGTTTACGTAAAATTGAGTCCCGAATATAATAAAATCTTTCGAGGTTTTTTTACTTTTCTTCATCAAAATCTCTCTCTTTCTCTCAATTTTGTTTCGAATTAATAAACTCATCTAAAACAACCGAAAACGGTTTAATTCCTCCGACATGTCCAATTTCTTCAAATTTAGTAGGCATTTCAGGAAATGGCTCTTCTTTGTCTTTTCCTTCTATAGCTTTCTCAACAGTTTCAAGAAATGTTTTAATTTGTCCATTAGGAAATTGGTCGATTACCTCTTTAATTTTATTGGCGTTTCCAATTAATGTATCTGAACTAAACTCCTGACTTTCTCTAAAAAGTAAACACTATTAATTATTTAAAGGAATAAATTTTGGCAGGCTTAAACAAATTTGTAATTTTCAGAAGTCGAACAATGAAAGCTTGTTCTAATGAATAATTCATCAAGAAAGTTTTTAACATCGAAGACATAAAAATAACTACTAACCCGATTAATTCATTAACAGCAAAAGGAAATTCTTGAATAAATTTTGTATGATCAACAACAGTCCCCACTTTCATAAATTTAACAATTCCTGCATTAAACTTTTGTTCAAAAGTGAAGGGAATTAAAATTAATGGAACTCCACGATAAAGAGCCTGTAAAATTAATTAAATTTTATTTAAATTTAGTTGATTTAAAATTTTTAAATATTTTTATTTAATTCCTAATTCAATATTTATGTAAAAATATGATCGGGAATCTCTTGCATATTCTCTCTTTCATTTTCCTTTGAAACTAGGTTTGGACTTATTGATACATTTTTTGGTCTGTTCATGTCTCTCAAATCTTGCTAATGAATGTGTAGCAAATAAAGGTATCAATAAGATAATGTATAAAATCGCCAAAAACGCCATGGCTATTTTGAAATGCGTGTCCCAAAATGTTCATTGAGAATTTTGGAGGACAACAAGTTGAATTCTTCAATCTTCCTAATTCTAGTATTTGAACCGAAAATTTCTGATATCCGGTCTTTTTCCAGAGCTGGATATTCGGATACGTCAACCTCATTTGTAATAGCACAAAATCAAATGAATTAGATACCTGATTAAAGCATTTCTGATCGCCGGCAGTGATAAAACCTCGAAGATTTTTCTGTGCTGAAATTTGGGATATAATTGAAATATTTTATATAATAATTCTATTTTTTGGGTCATAAAAAAAGAAATTGATGCTAACGAGAATTTAAATACATCGACAAAGTTTAATAAATTTGTAGGTATTTTTAAAGCGAGTTATTATTTGAAGAATTTGTAGGCAAAGTAAATGATAGTGTCCGTTTCAATCTTCTATCGTTTCTACTTTTATTGAAGTATAAATTTTTTAATGAAAATTTACCTAAAAATTTTTGCAGATTTACTTTATTCATGTAAAAATATATATTGTTATAGGAAGGGCCTTCTAATCGCCATGGTGCTGAAAAATTCTTTAGTAGCATTACTAACGAATGAAATGCATCTTTAAGTTGAACAACAAATTTACATTTGTCATATTTTAAGAATGTTTCTACTAATTCATTAAAATATTCTTGTGTAAATCCATTGAAGCTAACATTTTCACCCATATAAAATAAAACAAAGCAATCAGCCTGTAAAATAAAATTGGAACGTATTTGTAATTAAAGAGAGAAGACTGAGTTTAACCCCAAATCGAAAACCTCCGAAAAAATCCGGCCGGATCTAGTTCGGCACTGTGTCGTATTAAATACCTTTTTAATCCATCGAAATACAGGTTCTTCAGGTAAATATTCAATTAGTTTATTTTTAAAAAAGCCTGTTATACTATGCTTATTTTTCTCTTTTTCTTCCAATTTCTTTTCTTCCTCAATTTCATTCAAAATTCCTTCAATTTCTACTTCAATCCCTCCAATATTAACAATTCTTTTTGGAATATTTGGAAAGGAAAATTGTCCAAGTGGATGGACATTTATTAAATAATATTTTGATTTTCTTAATAAATCCCACATTTTTGGCATTTCTTCAACTTTAATTAATTTATGGTTTCCTAATAAATTCTTTTCTAAAGCCCTTTTCCTTGCCAACATTAAATATTTTTCTTGATTTTGTTCATAAAATTTAAAATAAACATGAGGGTGTTTAATATCTGAATGTGAATAAATTATTTCACTTAGTCGGCAGTGCTTCGCAGCTCATAACAAAATTAGTTCTTGTACTCTACCGCGTACCTGGTACCAAGTATCTTTCAGAAAATTTCATGCCCTTCCCCTAAGGCTGTATAAATGTATGTTGTTGCCAAGTTAAAGGTTTTATTTCGTCTCAAGAAAGACCACCGTACTCACAGGATTTGAATCTTTGGATTACTCTTTCTGGTCTATTTGGGAGGCATGAGCCAGGTTTAATAACCCTAAAGTTTGGCTCTTACCAGAAAATCTCACCAAAGGTAGTGCGAACTTTTGCCTAAAATTTTTCAGTGTGCCTTCAACTATAGCCGAGTAAAGGTTGGGACCTTGAAAAATTTTGATTATACTTGTTCCTTGTTTAATTTCCTATCATTTAATCTCGTTATCTTAATTTGAATAGATTCTTACCAGGCATTAAATCATAGCGTCTCAGACCAAGAAAATGCAGATGAATGGGAAAAGGAGGTTTTGAACTTGCAGCTATATATTTCTTTAATCCAATTTCTTCAAAAAGAGGAAATGCCCCTCCTGAATAAGAAAACTCAGCAATTCCTAGAGAAAATTTGTTCGTTGTTCCCATATGTTTAAGCCATTTAAAAATTCCTTGTTGTTTTCCGGCGATTGTGACTTGAGGATTTTCTATTATTGCTTAAATGGAAAAATTTTAAAAATTAAAATTTTTCGAACCCCATTAATAAGAGTAGCTGGGCTGTAGCAAAAGGTTAATCGGCAGCTCGGAGCGAACCAGCATTTTCAGTAGACCGGACTGATGTGTTATTTACACCACGCTCCTATTTCATAGCTTTAGGGTAGTTAGAAAATCTTTATGCGATTTCTTGACCTGTTATCATTTTTAAGTCCGAAATGGCCGAAATAGGCTTTAAAGGCGCTAATAACTCAAAAAGTACGGAACATTTTACGGTAAAAATCCAAACTTTTAGAAACCTTTATATATGCCATACATATAAAATCCTAACAATTTCAAGTTATATTGCTCATTATTATTATCTTCAACTGTCCAATTATTCTCAGATTTATTTGCATCGAATACTTTTAAATATTCTTCATCATTTATATAAGGCACTTCTATGAACCGAACACCTTTTAAAGGTTCACTCGAAATGCCATTTTTTTGAAAATTAACCACAAGCAAATACTTAAGATTCACAAATTTAAATATTTTAAATTGGGGGTTGTGAGCAGTGCTGGGTATTTGCCATTTGTTGGCTCCGGGCTCCGGGCTTTCAAAATCTTGGCTCCGGCTCAGGGCACTTCAAATTCTTAGCTCCGGCTCCGCCGGAGCTGGCTCCGGAGCTAGCTCCCGGAGCCATACCCAGCACTGGTTGTGAGGGTAGTTTTGTGAACAGTAATCTTCTACAAAATTTAATCGACATCCTCTGATATAAGGGCAGCACATAACTTATTCCCGCGTTAATAATTTCGGCAATCAACGTTAAAATTTTATATAAAAACTAGTAAAATTAGGTCAAAAATAAAAAATTCATTACTTAAATTTTCGAAAGAAATTCGAATTTAACAGTTTTTACTAGATTTAAAACCATTTAGGAAATATGGTTTTCAGTAATATGGTTTTCATTAACAAAATTAGTGCGCAATATTTTGCTGGAAAATGCGTGGAGAATAGGGTAGAGAGGTCTATCTTGAATATGTATAAATCATTAAAATTTGTATTATAAGTTTTTTTTGAAATTAAGACTCGAGAGTGGCTTCAGAGTCCGAAAGCTTTAATGCAAGTCGATCGAGTCGAATTTTGAAAACATGGTATTCAGCTTTATATTATGATCAGTAATTTTAAGTTACCACGTCATAATAGCCTTTGTAACATAGAACATTAGCCAGATTTAACTAAAAATTAATTGTTGAACTAAGTATTCTTTTAACTTTTATCTTACAAAAAAATTGTAATGCGGGTAAAATGAGTCAGCTATAAGCAATATTTTTTTCCCATTATTTGCTTTGGTTGGAATTTGTTGATTGGATTGAATATTCGAGGATGATGAAGCTTCCGAATCATTTTGTTGAGAAGGTAAAGGGGGTTTACTACTGTCTCCTTTAAAGAATTTTTTCATACAATCAACATTGGAATTTGACAGAAAATAAAAAATAATTAACAGAAAATTAAGCCAGAAAATGGAAAACATTTTCAGCTAAAAAAATTAAGAATCAATTAAATATTAAAATTCAAACATAATTTGTCTAGCTTGTTCTGATTTTTCCTTTCGTTTAATAATACTAATGATAAGAAAATTTGGTTCTACTTGACTTTATGAGTCCAATCGAACTTTATGAGTCCAATCGAAGTTTATGAGTCCAATCGAACTTTATGAGTCCAATCGAAGTTTATGAGTCCAATCGAACTTTATGAGTCCAAATAAAACTTTATGAGTCCAATCAAGATTTATGAGTCCAAACAAAACTTTATGAGTCCAATCAAAATTTATGAGTCCAAACAAATTTTATAAATCCGACATGTCTTATTATTCTAAGTAAAAATTGTGGTTCTACTACAGTTTATGATTCCATTCACAGTTTATGAGTCCAATCAGATTTTTGCGAGCTACGGGGGTAGGTCGTCAGATCAAAGCTGGTGATGAAAAAAGGGATAGGTTTATGTTGCCGACCCAGAACCCAGCGACCGTTGACTCCCGCGAGACGCGTGCCGCAAAACCCCGCGCGAAGCGCGGGGTTTTGCACAAGCGTCTCGCCCATACTCCATAGGTCTAACAACATAACCCTATTCATTTTTATTGTATTATTTAATAAATGTATTATTTAATAAAATCTAATAAAATGTGATTGGACTCATAAAGTTTTGTTTGGACTCATAAACTTTGATTGGACTCATAAAGTTTTATTTGGACTCATAAATTTTGATTGGACTCAGAAAGTTCGATTGGACTCATAAAATTCGATTGGACTCATAAGGTTCGATTGGACTCATAAAGTCAAGTAGAACCGAAAATTTAATGTTCTTTAATGAAAACATAGAAATCGTCGGAAATTAAAATTCAGACCGACCTTGTTATGGGTAGGGTACGGAAAAATTTTAATTTCTTTCAAAAGTTAAAAAATTTTTCTTAAATTTTAAAAAATGGGAATTTTTACCACTTTTATTATGACAATAAAATTTATATATTCATCGTTTTTGTGTTTTACTCCCATATGTATGTCGAACTTTTTTGCAACCGATTTCCCATTTTCGCTACGTATTTTCGAGTATTTGTCGCCTATTTTGGCATTTTTTAAAACCTATTTAGGTACCTACTTTAAGGATTTTACAACCTAAAAATCCGGACCCTTTGCTCTTGGTTAATTCGATTGTTGGAGTCAAAAAACATTACTAATTCTGTTTTATTCTTTTGCGGATTTTTAATATAAAATACGGATTTTTTAGTGAAAATTGCGGATTTTTAAAAATTCGAGTTCGAACCTTGGCTGTGAGTTAGATAATTGGAATAACTTTATTTATTTATATTTTACATAAACACTTTTGACAATAAATTAAAAAAAAGAAAAGAAAAAAATTTAAAAAATCAGTCTAAAAATAAAAGAAAAAATAAAAATGCCGACAAACTGTCTAAAATTTAAAAATAATAAAGTAATAAAAATAAAAAGTGCAATTAAATAAATGTATATTTTGAAATATAATTTTATTAAAAATCCTCCACTCCCTCCTCCCTTCTCTCCCCTCCATCCCCCCCCCCTCCATCCTTCCACACTCACTCATTAATTTTTAAAATGCCCTTTAATTAATTATCGATAAAACGTGGAATTTAATAAATCTAAATTAAATATAGGCGAGATAAGAGAAAAGCTAATATAGAATTAATATTGTTTAAAGAGCAACATTTATTAAATCAACACTCAAACAAACAATTGTAATCAGTAGGGTCCGGATTTTTATTGAAATAAAATCGCTATATATGGCCATAAAATATTGAAATAAATGGCAAATACCCAGCACTGATTACTAATCAGTGCCGGGTATTTGCCATTTGTTGGCTCCGGCTCAGAGGTTTTCAAAATCTTAGCTCCGGCTCCGAAGCCGGTTTCGGAGCCGGCTTCGGAGCTAGCTCCCGGAGCCATACCCAGCACTGATTGTAATAATTAACAAGAAACATTTAAAAATATAAAAAGAACACAAATTATGTTGTTTAGAAGATACTATGCAAACAGCAAAATCATTCAACATTTGATTGAACGCAATATCAACCAGGTATCGCGCCGACAGAAAATCAAACTCCCGATTTTCGTGAATCGGGAATTTTTTTGAATTTTTTTGAATTTTCGTGAGTCGGGAATCGGGTCGGCGCGATCCCTGATATCAACTATGAAAAATTACTTTCTATCATATTAGACTAAAAATTTTATTCTTTTTTTTTAAAATTTGCTCGTTGTCCCTTGAGAAAGAAACAATAAAATATTTAATTTTCATTAATACAATTAAAAAATGTTTACAAAATTTTGGGACGTATATACTTTCAAGGGACGCATATACTAGAGCCAATACTATTAAAAAATAAATCATTTACCTATTTATTTATTTAATTTTTACACAAATACTTTAGACAATAAATAAAAATACAAAGAAAAAAAATTCAAAAAAACAGTCTAAAAATTAAAAAAAACAAAATAAAAATGCCGACGAACTGTTTAATATTTAAAAATAATAGTGATAAAAATAAGAAATTGCAATTTAATTTAGCCCTAGGGGGTTTAAATATTTTTTGAAGTACTGTACCCCGATTTCCCGTTGATTTCTGGGATTTAAGATCTCAATGAAGAAAGGAGTTACAGACTTCGTTCTTTTTTACTTTCTACACTATATCGAGGGTAATGTCCACAGGAAATTTTGTAGAATTTTTGGAACATTGTAAACCGAAAAATGTTAATAAGGTGCCTTATAATTTTGTTACACCTATTTTAGTGAAAAATCGTCCTAAAAAAATTTAAACACAACATAAAATTATAAAACTTTGGAAATAATAGTTTATGGCAAATGTTCAGTTGGCTGTCTACCTGTCCGCAAAGAGAATCCGCTCTTTTCTTTTTTTTCTTGCATCATTTGCGTTGGGAGAAGTGCACCCTCATTCTTCCACTTTCAGCATTTTTCCTTCTCAATAATACATACAGTATGTTTTCCTTTTCCTACTTGAAAAATAAAAATAATAATACTTCGAATTTAAAAAAAATATATTTTACAAATAATTTAAACATTTTCATATCTAAATTAGGGTTGTTGGCGACCGGTTTTAAAACCGGAATTTTTGAAATTTTTTGCCAAAAATTAACCGTTTTTAAAAAATTTTAAAAACCGAAAACAGGAAATTTGTGAAAATGAGTGATTTTATTTAAAATTCCCCTAAAAATAAACCGGTATTTGCCTAAAACTCAAAACCGAAAACCGGGTTTCTAAAATTCAGATTAACCGAAAACCGGGAGTACCGGTTAATAACCGGTCGCCAACAACCCTAATCTAAATTATACATATAAATATAATTTAAATATGCCCCTTTCATATTTTATAATTTTCGTCTATTTTCAAATAATTTCTATGTAGAAAAATTTTGAATCCCATCCCACGATCATACCCTTGATGATCAAACTCTTGATCAAAAATCTGACATCTAAATGGTCCCCACGCAAAAGATGCAAGAAAAGGAAAGAAAAGAGCGGATTCTCTTTGCGGACAGGTATAATAAAACTAGTAATAAATAAAAACTAGTAATAAAAAAATTTTTTTGGGTGCCTTATAATTTTGGTACACACCATAAATTAATATTAGGATATAGTATAGTATACCGGTGGAAAGGTTTCGATATGAGACCCATACCATTCGATTCGTCTCGGCGAGCTGAGTCGAACGGTACCACTCTTTTTTTCCGGAGATGCCTGTGAACAGCCGAATATTATTAAAAATATGAATAATTTCTAATTTTTTAAATATCTAAACACATCAAATTTAAATAAATTTTTCAACCCTATGGGTGTACGTAAAATTGAGTCCCAATTATAAAAAATCTCTCGAGTTTTTTACTTTTCTTCATCGCAGATCTCTCTCTTTCTCTCATTTTTGTTTCGAATTAACAAATTCCTCTAAAACAACCGAAAACGTTTTAAGTCTTCCGACATGTCCAATTTCTTCAAAATTAGTCGGCATTTCAGGAAATGGCGCTTCTTCGTCTTTATCTTCTATAGCTTTCTCAACATTTTCAAGAAACGTTTTAATTTGTCCATTAGGAAATTGGTCGATTGCCCCTTTAATTTTATTGGCGTTTTCAGTAAAAGTGTTTGGATTAGAAGACACTTGATTTTCACTGAAAATAATCTCTATTATTTATTTAAAAAATATTTTGATATAAAGTGCTGTTTAAAATTACATATAAGCGCGCTTGTAAAAATTGTATAACTCGGGACTTAGTTATCCAAATATTATCAAATATTGAATTAAAATACTAAAACGTATTAGCAGGCTGAACCAAATTTACAATTTTCAGAAGTCGAAAAAACTACTACTAACCCTATTAATTTTTTAACAGCAAGAGGAAATTCTTGAACAAATTTTGTATGATCAACAGTAATTCCCAATCTCATATATTTAACAATTTTTGCATTAAACTTTTGTTCAAAAGTGAAGGGAATTAAAATTAATGGAACTCCACGATAAAGAGCCTGTAAAATTAATTAATTAAATTTTATTTAAAATTATTTATAAGTTAAAATTTAAATATTTCTTTGTGGAAATGTAGGTTGCCAACAGGATATTTACCACTATAATTAATAAATTCTGAATGTTACATCAGGGTGGCCAATTCTTAAACAGATCGCAGCTCCACAAAATTATCCGATTATCACATAAATGTATCGGATATAAAACAAATTAAAGATACAAAAGTATTTAAACACATTTGCAGAACAAAATGTCTTTCTGCGAGTTATCTGGCCATACCCATGTTAGGGTGTAATTAGATACCTGATTAAAGCATCTCTGATCACCGGCAGTGATAAACCCACGAAGATTTTTCTGTGCTGAAATTTTTGATAAAATTGGATTTTCCCGATCATAAAAATTAAAAATTGGAAATATAAATATTGAAAAGTATGATTAGGAACTTCGAAGAAAGAGGTAATATATGTATCTAGGTAAAGTTAAGTAGGCACCCAAACCGATACGGAATACCGATAAATACCGAAAAATACGGCCGTAGTACGGTACGGTCCGATCTCTAGAATATTGTAAGATTGAAACGAGACGCTGAAGTCTCGTTTTTTCTATTGTTTTTCTTTTAGGAAGAAAATATTCTTTAATGAAAATTTACCTAAGAATTTTTGTAGATTTATCCCCTTTGTGTAAAAATATATATTTTTATGAACATTCGAATCTAATCGCAATGTTATTAAAGGATCCTTTTGTAGAATTTCTAATACATGAATTCCTTCCCTAAGTTGAACAACAAATTTACATTTATCATATTTTACAAATGTTTCTATTAATTTAATAAAATATTCCTTTGAAAATCCTTTAAAGGTAACGAGTTCACCCATATAAAATAAAACAAAGCAATCCGTCTGCAAAATGATTGGAAATTAACATTTAAAGATAAAAATTAAATTAAAAATAATTAAGTCCAACATTTTTATTATAGATACTGAAAATATGTAGTTAAAATGAAATTCATTCATAGGCTAAGCTATTGAATTAATTTTACGAATTCAATATTAAATTTGGAGAGTAATGGAGTTGCTATACACCCCTCACATAGCTATACAGTTACACTATTTTTCTAGCTTAGATATGAATTTGGAAATTTATGCATTAAATATAATAAACAAGCAGCAAATAAACTGTTATTATGCTTTTTCAGAAATTAATAAGTTTTATTCAGTTATTATCCACTTTACCTGACAAAATTATTTCCATATAACTATACAATCCCTTGTATTTTCGACCTTAGGGGTGGTCGCAAAAATCTACAAAAATGCCTGTAAACATATCTATGGATATCTATAAAAAATACAAAAGAAATGAAGTTCCGAAAATAGCCCGGCTATCCTCTATCTCCTTCATCTGTTTCGACTCGCCTATATTGTATTTTCTAATTTTGATAAAGTATTATACTTGAGTTCGTTGAAATTAGAAAATCTTGGGAAAACCCTGAACATAACAAAATTATTAAATACCTTTTTAATCCACCGAAATACAGGTTCTTCAGGTAAATATTCAATTAGTTTATTTTTAAAAAAGCCTGTTATACTACCCTTATTTTTCTCTTTTTCTTTCAATTTCTTTTCCTCCTCAATTTCATTCAAAATTCCTTCAATTTCTACTTCAATCCCTCCAATATTAACAATTCTTTTTGGAATATTTGGAAAGGGAAATTGTCCAAGTGGATGGACATTTATTAAATAATATTTTGATTTTCTTAATAAATCCCACATTTTTGGCATTTCTTCAACTTTAATTAATTTATGGTTCCCTAATAAATTCTTTTCCAAAGCCCTTTTCCTTGCCAACATTAAATATTTTTCTTGATTTTGTTCATAAAATTTAAAATAAATTTCTGGATTAATTAATTCTAAATGGGATAAATTATTTTAAAGAAAATAGAAAATTTTCGTACACAAATCGCTTAATAAGCTTTAAATTTGTCGGCACTTAAATTAGATTCGAAATCATATTTTAATTAAAAAATTCAAAACTCATCGGTTCAGCTCAAGTAACCGCAAAAGTGGGAACAGCTAAAGGTTTTTGCAATCCGATAAACCTCTGTTGTCGTTATACGGTTTTCTATATCTCATTTAACTAAAAAATGCTTACCAGGCATCAAATAATAGCGTTCCTGACCAAGAAAATGCAAATGGATGGGAAGAGGAATTTTTGGAGTTGCAGCTATATATTTATTCAGTCCAATTTCTTCAAAAATAGGAAATGCCCCCGCAGTAATAGAAAACTCGGCAATTCCCAGTGCAAATTGTTGCCCCATAAGTTTAAGCCAATCAAAAATTCTTTGTTGTATTCCATAGATTTCGACTTTAGGATTTTCTATTATTGCTTAAAAGAAAGGAATTTTAAAGACTCTCCAATCTCTAGGTTAGAAATTCTTGGTCTTCCAATTCCAGAATATTTGTAAATTCAGACTGTTCCGATTACAGTACGTTTATTGAAGTTTCAATTCTATACCTTTAATATAATGCCCCTATTACCAAATGGTTTTTGGCCATAAAATGATGAAACTAAAATGACACCCTCAAGTAATAAATCCCCTCTTTAACTTTTTAGTTAACCTTTATATATGCCATACATATAAAATCCTAGCAACTTTAAGGCGTGATGGTCGTCTTTTTTATCTTCAACTGTCCAATTAGTTTCTAATTTTTTGGCTGTAAACCCTTGTGAATACTCTCCATCTCCTATATAAGGTACTTCTATAAATCGAACATCTTTTAAAGGTTTATTTAAAATGTCCTTTCCTTTGAAGTTAACAACAATCAAATACTAAAATTTCAAAAATTAAAATGTCTGAAATAGAGAGGTGATAGGGGGATGTAAGTGATTGTGAGAGTAATCTTCCTCGAATTACCCCCAGATATGTAATTTTCTCCAAATTTCCTCCAATTAGAAGAATAGTAGGTCTCGGCAAAGTAAACTTAAGTAATTCATCGGATGCTAGTTAAACAACTTTGGCGAATAATTTTAAAAAATTTTCCTTTATTTTCTGAAATAAAAGGGATAAAGGAAATATAAGGGATAAATAAATATAAGGAATATAATATAAGTGATTCCAATTTACCACATCGTATTTGCCGTTGTAACATAAAACATTAGCCAGATTTAACTAAAAAATTTGGTCGAGATAAATTTTCTATTGACTTTTAACTTACAAAGAAATTGTAATGGATGTAAAATGCATCAGTTACCAACAACATTTTCTTTCCATTATTGGGTTGAAAATGTTGATTGGATTGAATGCTTGAAGATGAAGCTTCATCATAATTTTGTTGCGAAAGTAAAGGTGTTTTACTACTTTCTCCTTTAGAGAAGTTCCACATACAATCAACATTGTAATGTAGCAAAAAATAAAAAATAATTAAAAAATAATTAAGCCAAAAAATGAAAAACATTTTCAGCTAAAAATTGAAAATTAATTAAAAATATTAAAATTCAAGCATAATTTGTTAGTGATTATCTTGTGTTTTCTCCTCATTTTTTTCACCATGGTTTAATACCAATAAAAAACATTTTTTGGAAAAAATATTAAAACTTTCAAAAATTTTCAAGTTAACAAAGGAAAAGGAGTTAAAATAAAAGAATAATAATTTAAATTTAACCAACTTAGAAATTAATTTAATGCTTTAAAAGACTTAAATTAATTTAATTTTCATAGAAATTGTCTACAGCTTTTAATTACTTAAAATAAAATATTTTTTCGACAACATTTATGGACTATTGAATTAAAACATTTTATATTAATTTTATTTAATTAATTATTTAATTTAATTATTAATATTATAGGAAGATTTAATAAATTAAAAAATTTTTTTAAAGTTTTAACTAAATTGAGATTAAAGAAAGTAACTCTTAATTAGCGAAGATATAAGCCAATATAAGCTAGTAAATAAATTATTTATTTAAATTATTTTTTAATTAAGCACTTTTAAATATTTAATAAATCAAAATACAAAAAAGAAAAGTGTAAACAAATTTAAAAACAGTCTAAAAATAAATTATCAAAGTAAAAAACCGACAGCAATGCTTAAAAGTGCAAGTGAATAAATAAATGTATTTTTATTATGTAATTAAATATTATGAAATAATTATTTCAATAAATTTAAATTATTAAAATAATTAAAAATTTATTTAATAAATAAAAGTATTTATCAATATTTATATTTATGTAAAACGCAATTTAAGGAAACTTATTAAAAAGTAACCCCTCTCCTACATACCGTATTTACTCGATTAATTCCCCACCCTCAAATAATTCCCAATGCCAGGGATGAGTTGAAAAAATAATTCCTCGGGGGAATTAATAGAGTAAATACGGTATGTAACTTTTATTTCAAAAATCACCAGTATCCTCAATCCGGCATTTTTGAAATTTTTAATATTTAGTGCCGCACTATTAAAGAATCAATGACAAATTTTAAATTGTAACGCAATAGCCAAGACTAACTGTCCATAGGTATTAAATGTAGTATAGAGACAACTGGTAATACGTAAAAGTTCAAAAGTCCAAAAGATTTTTGAAAAATCTATTAATATAATTTTTGGGAAAATACTAGATTTGTATTTTATCATTCAACTGACCGACTGACAAATTTAAAAATTAAATAGCTAACAATACTATTTTAGTTTTTGTAAAGTATCATAAATTTAATAATAATTTCAAATAGTTTTTATGCCAATCCATTTATACCAAAAACTTGTGTTAACAATGTAAATTTTAAAAAATTTTCGAATTTAAAATTAAATTTTCCAAAATTAAAAAAAGAAAAAGACCGATCAAAAATTTGTCTAATTCTGGTTTTTATCTGTTTTCTTTCTCTTTTTTTATAAAACAATTACATAGAAATTTTGTGTCTAAACACAAAAACTTCTTTTAAAATTCAAAATAATTTGTTTTTTGTATATGTTGTACATAATGGATTTAAAAAATTACTTTTCCGCTATTCAACCGAAATTGAGTGCCAGCCGAATTTGATCGGCTATAACATTTTGTTGCTTGATCCAAAAAAAATGAATTTTATATCTTTTGAAAGCCCACGACAAGCTGTATATTTTTTAATAGAACAGATCAGGTATGATCACTGATTAAAAAGTTGAAAACGATAAGTCCAAATATTTGATGCTTTCCAAATTTGTTGGGTTATAACTTTAATCAGTGATCAGACCTGATCTATCCTATTAGAAAAAATACATTGCTTATCGAGGGATTTCGAATGATTTAAAATTCATTTGTATTGGATCAAGTATCAAAAAGTTATAGCCGATCAAATTCGGCTGGCACTCAGTTTGCGGTCGAATAACGGAAAAGTACCAAAATATCGTTTGCAAATTAAGACTAAAATAGATAACGAGTTATGAGGAAAGATAAAACGACCTCTATATCAACTCGGTATCGGGATTTGGAAAAACGGCATCTGTACTATCTTGGCATCGGTTTTAAAAAGGTGGGATAATCTAATTCCAATATAAATTTTGGTCCATAAATTATGCAAACGATATTGCTGGCATTTTTTACAATCTACGTGAAATTGTTAATCAGCTAAAATATAATATCGGGTTTAGACGTTACATGTTTGGGTTATATCGGGAGGGAGAGGATCAGGGGTCGAATGAAAATTTCGGTTATGCAAAGCCATGAGGAAAATTTTCTAAAGGGAATTTTCGTGAATTACAGTCATTTCTTGTATTTGATAAGATCTAGATATTAAATTCCTATCATTGAAAAATTATAACTTCAAAAAATATTTTTTGCACTATATAAAAATTAAGGGGAGATTTCTGAAAATTCTTATACCAGAGGTAATCTGGGTCGGGAAACTTTCAAAAGACAACTCATCCCCGACTTTTTGGGGAATTTAGCTCTGGAAAAAAATTTAGGGGAATTTAGCCCTATACACTCAAAAATGTGAAATTTGGGCTTATGTATTGTATCAAACAATAGATACACTTGAATGTACATATATCGTATTTACTCGATTAATTCCCCTGGGGAATTATTTATTCACCCCATCCGTGACATGGGGAATTATTCGAGAGAGAGGAATTACTCGAGTTTTGAAATTTGAACGTGTAGTAGGGTATTTGGGGGAGGGGGGATTATTGTTTCAACTCATCCGTAGCAGGGGGTGAGAGAGGGGAATTAATCGAGTAGATACGGTATACATTTTTAACTCCATGAGTTTGCACAAATCGGGTTCCTCTTACAAATAAATCGTTCAATTCCTTCACTTTACTTCATTGAAAATTCCTCTCTCAATTTTGTTTCGAAGTAACAAATTCCTCTAAAACAACCGAAAAAGGTTTAAGTCCACCGACTTGCCCAATTTCTTCAAATTTACGCATTTCAGGAAATGGCTCCTCTTTGTCTTTATCTTCTATGGTTTTCTCAACAACATCAAGAAACGTTTTAGTTTGTCCATTGGGAAATTTTTCGATTGCCTCTTTAACTTTGTTGGCATTTTCAACCAGTATGTTTGTTGGATAATGATCTTCTCTAAAATATTTTAATTACTACATTAAAATTCACTAAATATTCAAAGGAGTCCGTACAATGATCCCTGTTCGTAATACTTTCATAGGAATGGTATTTTTATTCCCTTCCACTAATATTTCCCTTCCTTAACAAATGGTATTTAATCAGTCACAATTCAAAACGGTAGTACTTATTGTATACGATTTTCATGCTGTGAAAAAATTCATTGGATTACAAACCTCATTAATTTATAAAAGGCTTTAGGAAAGTCTTTAACAAATTTTGTATGATCAACAACAATCCCTACTTTCATATATTCTGCAATTTTGGCATTAAACTTTTGTTCAAAAGTGAAGGGAATTAAAATTAATGGAACTCCACGATAAAGAGCCTGTAAATTAATTGAATTTTATTTAAAATTAGGGATATACTTTAGCCGGTGGCCCACTCAGAAACCCCTCGATATGTATACCATTCGATTCGTCTCGGCGAGCTGAGTCGAATAGTACCATTCTTTTTTTTGCGGAAATGCCTACAAGCCGAGATATAGGTCCCTGAAAATCGAAAAACCATAGGGGGGAGTAAGCTCAATTTTGGAGTGAAAAATACGATTTTTTGAATAGCTCATTCGAAAGAGCTCCTCGAGCTGAGTCGAATGACACAAGAACCAACGAAATCCGACTTGATTAGACCGAGATATAGACCCCTAAAAACCGAAGATCCAAAGGGGCGATTATTAGAATTAAAAATTTTTTATACAAATAATACCTCATTCGAAAGAGCTCGACGAGCTGAGTCAGATGACACCAAAGTCAGCTTGATTGTAAAAGTTTGGACAAAGTTACAATAGAAAAACAAACAACATAAACCTATGGGGCGTCGGCGAGGCGCTTGTGCAAAACCCCGCGCTTCGCGCGGGGTTTTGCGGCACGCGCCTCGCGGGGAGTCTACGGGCGCTGGGTCAGGGCTCGTAACATAAACTTATGCCTATTTTAGCTGCGGTCGGTATGTCTGGCTTCCTCCGCATCAGCAAGAACCTGCACGTAGACCAAACGTAAGGAGCTAAAACAAGTGCTCATAACTTTGTCAAATCAAGTCGGATTTCGTTGATTTTGGTGTCATTCGACTCAGCTCGACGAGCGCTTTCGAATGAGCTATTATTTGCATATTCGAATTTTTCACCCCAAAAAAGTGCTTGGTCCCCCCTATGATTTTTCGATTTTTAAGGACTTATATCTCGGCTCGTAGGAATTTCCGCAAAAAAAGAGTGGTACCATTCGACACAGCTCGCCGAGACGAATCGAATGAATATAATTTGACCCGTTTCTGAGTGGGCCACCGGCTAAAGTACAGCCAAAATTAGTAAAAAATTTTATTTGTTAAATATTTTCATTTCATAAAATTTCAAATTCAATATTATTCAAGAATATACTTTAGATTGTAATTAGATACCTGATTAAAGCATTTCTGATCACCAGCAGTGATAAAACCACGAAGATTTTCATGTGCTGAAATTTGTGATGAAATTGGAAAATTCTATATTTTCCCGATCATAAAAATTAAAAATTGGAAATTTAAATATTGAAAAGTGTAAGGAAGAGAAAGATCCAGCTGGCTAGCATTTAAAACGCTCACTAGGCGGGGGTTTAATATCTATTAAAGAGAGCAGCGTCCCGGTGTCTCAGTCGGTAGAGCACCTGTACGCGGTAAGCGAAAGCGCCTAGCAAAAACTGCCAGGAGGTCGCAGGATCAAAGCCTGCCAGGGTTTAAACTTTTATCTCGCTCTTACTCAAGTATGTCTAGTAACTTCGAAAAAAGAGTTAATAAATTTAGGCGAAGTTAAGTAGGCACAAAAATAAACACACGCAAAATTCTTTAATGAAATTTTACCTAATAATTTCTGTAGATTTACTTCTTTTACAAAATAAAAATATATATTTTTATAAACATTTGGATCTATTCGCCACGGGAATAAAGGATCTTTTTTCAGCATTGGAAATTCAAATCCAATTCTGAGTTGAACAACAAATTTACATTTGTCATATTTTACAAATGTCTCTACTAATTTATTAAAATATTCATCTGTAAATCCTTTGAAGGAATGGCCTTTAGTGATATAAAATAGAACAAAGCAATCAGTCTATAAAATAAAATTGGAAATTTAATTTAATAATAAAAAGATTTATTGGAAAAATTAATCAAATTTTACTTATCCAATATTAAATTATTACCTTTTTAATCCACTCAAATACAGGGTCTTCAAAGACAAATTCCTTTACTTTATTTTTTAAAAATCCTGTTAAACCCTTATTTTCCATTTTTTCTTTCAATTTTTTTTCTTCCTTAATTTCATTCAAAATTCCTTCAATTTCTACTTCAATCCCTCCAATATTAACAATTCTTTTTGGAATATTTGGAAAGGGAAATTGTCCAAGTGGATGGACATTTATTAAATAATATTTTGATTTTCTTAATAAATCCCACATTTTTGGCATTTCTTCAACTTTAATTAATTTATGGTTTCGTAATAAATTCTTTTCTAAAGCCCTTTTCCTTGCCAACTTTAAATATTTTTCTTGATTTTGTTTATAAAATGTATAATAAACTTGTGGGTGTTTAAGCTCTGAATAAACAATAAAATATTAAATTAACCCTTTTCCAAATTTAAAAATAATTTGTTTGGTTTAATATTCCGCGGTTCCAACTCCAAGAATCGTCAGAAAGTTTGACAAGCCAAAATAGTAACCCTTGAAAAATAAGAGCCCTGGAAATAGGAACCCTTGATTCACGGTTCCTATTTGTTATGTTCAAATAACATAGCCCCTCTCGTTGTGCTTTAACATCTTCGTTTACTTAATCTATCCAGTAATAATCATGAAAATTATCTCAATTAATTCAAATTACTTCACATCTTTTCTTTAGAAAATACATACCAGGGTTTAAATAATAGAGTTCCTGCCCAAAAAAATGCAAATAAATAGGAAAAGGAATTGTTGAAGTTGCAGCTATATATTTCTTTAATCCAATTTCTTCAAAAAGGGGAAATGCTCCTCCAGATAAAGAAAACTCAGCAATTCCCAGTGCAAATTGTTGCCCCATAAGTTTAAGCCAATCAAAAATTCTTTGTGGTATTCCATAGATTTTAACCATTGGATTTTCTATTATTGCTTAAAAGAAAGGAATTTAAAAAATAATTAAATTTTGCCTCCATGTACACAATAAGTCATAGTTAGAAAATTTTAATTTAGTTTCATTGACTTTAATGATATTTTGTAAATATTATTTAATATACATACATTACAACAAGACTACAAAAATTTTCAGAACAATCCGACAACGGGATGATAGAGAAACTCAAAAAATTCAGGGGGGTTATAATTTCATAGCACACTGTATATAATACCGTTACCAAATGGTCATCGGCAATGCTGGGTTTTTCAAACTCAGCTCCGGTTCTGACCTATTAATTTTAACTGCCCTTCTAAGTAGATATCCTTGAAATCCTCATCAAAATTAATTTCTTAACTTGCCTTTATATGAGAAGTACATATAAAATCCCAGCAATTTTATGAGGTGATCATCATCTTTTTTATCTTCAGATGTCCAATTACTAATTTCAAATTCACCTTTATTATGCACCTGTGAATATTCCTTATCCTCTATATAAGTTACTTCTATCAGGTGAACATTTTCCAAAGGTTTCTTTAAGATGACATTTCCTTCGAATTTAACCACAAGCAAATACTAAAATTCATGTTTGAAATGGAAAAATTAAAAAAAATTGTTTGAATTTACCACGTCATATTTGCCGTTGTAGCATAGAACATTAGCAATGTTCAACTAAAAATTAATTGTTGAAATAAATTTTCTGTTAACTCTATATTATAACTAAAAATCTCGATTCTCGAAACATTTTTAAAATAAATTTTAAGATAAGGGAGATGCATATTAAAGGATTAAGAGCCCGAGTAACCTGATAACATCTTAATCCACCCAAATCCCCTTAAACAATATCCTCTAATTCCTATATCCTCAGATATTCCAATGACTCTTGGTTCCTTCATATCCCTCGATATAATCCGACTGTTTTCAGTTATAAGAATCCATACTGTTAACTGTGCGGACCAGACATGCACGAAACTCCAAAATTTTTTCAGACGAAACGAAACGAAACAAAATTTTTTAAAAATCGTTTCGTTAACGAAACGAGACGAAACAGTAAAAATTTAGCGAAACGAAACGAAACAAAACGAAACATTCTAATTTTCAAAAAATTTAATAAAAACGGCTTTATTTTCTTAATTAAACGATTTTAAACACGTTAATAGGCCAGTTATGTCCTATATATGATCTCATAGCTTTGTGGGACCTTAAACTGTGGTCCCATGCTCGAAAATTTTTGCGTGTACCCTCCTAATCCACATATCAGCCCTAATCGACTCCAATCGAAACTCCAATCGAATTGTGTTGATCAAATGCATATCAGCGAACCTGCCGACCTGTTTCCTGATTAACTAAAATAGGGAAATAATTTTGTCGGAAATTACTATTCCCGGAATCCGTTTCTGATTTACGACATTTCTTCACATTTTTTAAACCATTCAAATTCACCGATATCCCGTTTACTCTGTTAATTTCATATACCTCCATTGTGCCAGCCAAATCGCCTGATATTCCTCTACTCAGATTTTTTGTCGATTAACAACGTTCATGATTAGGGTTGCCAAAATAGATCGACTCGGGCCGAAAGATCGAGTTGGGCCTAAGATATTTGGCCCGAAGAAGACTTGTACTGGCCCGACTCGATAAAGGCAGGCTCGACCTTCGGCCCGACTCAAAATTATCTCTTGAGCCAGCCCCTGATGGCATTAAGAGGTAGACCCCTTCTATATGCCTAATCTGCCATAGAATTGAATAAAACACATAAAATTAAACGGGGAATTCAAAAAAATATAGTAAATTATGCGCCGTAGGCGCTTAAAATCCAGATTTCAGCGCCGCAGGCAAAAATTTTTCGAATTTTCATCACCAAATGGGAAATTTTTTTAGTTTTTGAGTAATATTTTGGTCTAAAAAATAGGTAATGTTTTGTTAACGAAACACAGGTGTTTCGTTAACAAAACGAAACGAAACAAATTAAAAACTGTTTCGTCACGAAACGAGACGAAACAGGAAAAAACATAACGAAACTAACGAAACAACGAAACGAAACGAAATGTTTCGTGCATGTCTGGTGCGGACTCAAATGAAAAGTCAAATGAAAAGTGTAATTTGTTTTTTAGCCCCAAAAGTAAAAAGTTTTGAGTTTATAAAACAACGTTGTGAGGCTTTTGCTCGACAGAGGCTTTTGTTCGAGATTTTACTTCGGTAAGGTATCTATTGTTAACTTACGAAGAAATCATAATGCGGGTAAATTACATCAGTTACCAGCAATATTTTCTTTCCAGTATTTGCTTTGGTTGGGATTTGTTGATTGGATTGAATGCTTGAAGATGATGAACCTTCATCATAATTTTGTTGAGAAAGTAAAGGTGTTTTACTACTTTCTCCTTTATGAAAGTTCCACATACAATCAACATTGTAATGTAGCAAAAAATAAAAAAGAATTAAAAAACAATTAAGCCAAAAAATGGAAAACATTTTCAGCTAAAAATTAAAAATTAATTAAATATTTAAATTCAAACATTTTGTTAGTAATATGTAGCTTATTCTCAATTTTCTTTTCGTTTAATAATGTTGATAAAAATTTCAATGTTTCTTAATCAAAACAACGGAATAAGAAACGTCGGAAATTAAGATTTGCCGTCAGAACCTTGGTTAAGTTTTATATTTAGTGAATTGGGCCTGTGCTCTTTAATACTTTTTTGGCTTGTTTTATACCAATTTAAAAAAATAAAGTGTCAATAAAAAAACCAAAAACAGAGCTTTATATTTGGTAATTACCTTGCATAAAAGCCTTGGGTAATTATTGTAGGGATTGGGATAATTAATAGAAACAGGGGTGGGGGGGGGGTAATTATTTGAAAAAGGGCAATTGATAACTTTATATAAAAATAAAATAATTTTTTTAAATAAAAAATTTTTTTTAAATGTTAAGGCAATAACTAAAAAATTTAATTTGACTTCTTAAAAATTCCTCTCTACCCCTCCTCTCCCTCCCTTCCCTTCCCTCCCCTCCATTCCCTCCTTCCCTTCTCTTCTATCGACCCTTCCACTTAAACATGATTCTTTAAAATGCCCTTTAATAGAATTATAGATAAAACGTGGAATTTAATAAATTTTAATTAAACATAAAAGAGATAGAGAGAATAGCTAATATAGCATTGATAATGTCAAAAGAGCAACATTTATTAAATCAACACTCAAACAATTGTAATAACAAGAAACATTTAAAAATATAAAAAGAATTTAGATTATGTATAAAAACATTTTTGGCTAAAATGTTGAAACTCTTTTTAAAATTAAAACAGCAGAAAGAAAAAATTTATAAAGTACATACAGTGGCGGGAATTTAGTTAAGAAGAGATATTATTAGTAATATTTTTGAAAATTATTTTTTCAAAAATTAATTTGAAATCTTTAATTTTATATAATTTTGTAGCCTTATTCGTTAGTTATTCCGGAAAAAGTGGTACGGGTAACTACTTACGGTATCGAAAAAATCCAAGTGCAGATTTAAGTAGATGGAACAACTAGTTTAAGTCCCCCGTTGTAAAATTAAGCACCTCAAGCTGTTAAAATGCATATTTTTCTCTTTAGACGAAGTTCTGGTCGGACACAAAAAATTAACTCATTTATTTATTTAATTTTTACACAAATACTTTCACAATAAATAAAAATACAAAAAAGAAGAGAAAATTAAAAAACAGTCTAAAATAAAATATGTAAAATAAAAATGCCGACAAACTGTCTACATAATATTTAAAAATAATAAAGTGCAATTAATTGAATGTATATTATGAAATATTATTAAAAAATATTAAAATAATTTTTAATAAATTAAAGTAAATGTATTTAATAAAATGTATTTATTTAAAAAAAACTTCAGAACCTGCTGGTATTATATGAAATCTCTGTTGACTCCTTTCTTCTACATTACTTTCCTCCCAACGTTAACTGGTGGCCTAGAGGGGCTATTCAAAAATTTATTAAAAAATGTTTTAGAAACTAATATTAGTAAATGAAAATAAAATGCTCTATGTTGCGCGATTAGTGTTCCATTTAAATGACTTCTAGATTTTTTTTTCTAAAGAAAAGTCTTATTTAGCCTAGGCATAATAATATATAATTAACCTTTTTTTAATTTTTAATTTTTTATTTAATTTTAATTTACGATTTTATATATTTGAGATCAGTGATTAATACATATTAGGATTTGCAAAAACTGTTGTGTAGTGGTATCATTGCCAGTGAACGCTCCAGTCTAATTGGATCATACTAGCCTGGCTTTTCCCTGATCTCGTTGTCTATTCCAGCCCATCCACCTTCATTTACATTGTACAGTTTTACTGCAGATCAGAGTTGTATCGTAATTACTAATTACAATTACGAAAATAAAAAATTACGAGAAAATATTATTGCTGAAAAAACCCTCTCGTACTTTGTCTTTAAATTTTCAAAGGAAAAGGGAAGGAAATATTTATATTTTCTCATACTTTTCGTTTTGTTAATCGGTGGCAAAGTTAGAAGTCAGGCTTCACTCTCCTTGATATTCTGTGGCGCAGAAAAGTGATTTGAGATTAAGAGGGATATCAAGAGATGTAAAGGTGGAAAGTTCCATGCAAAAGGTAAATGTTCGGTAAAAGAAGCCGGGTCGGGTTTTGGAAAATTGTACACGTCGACATTGGTAAAACCTCGGACAACCCGGTTTTACCACTGGTTTATTCCCCTTTAATTCGACATTCTGAGGTGCCACGGCCAATTTCGTTTAGTGCATAAATACATATGCACATATTAATTCAATTAAATTTTATCCATAAGACTAAATTATATTCTTCAAGTCTTTTCAATTTAGACAAATTTTACAGATCCGAAATTATATGAAATTAAGAATTTATCACTCCAAGGGGGTTGTTAACATTTCTTGGTAAACGAGGATGAACACTAATAATAGATGTAACATTGGGCACATTTACTACATTTGAACGTAAATCACTCGATGAAATATTCAAATTTTTTAAAAAAGGAAAGCATTCATTAAAAGCTGCATGGTATTTTTCACTGAAAATTTAAAAAAATTATTATTGAAATAATTTTTGATAAAAATTTTTCTCTCACCTGCGGGGTAAACTAAATCATCGCCTTCTCTGGCGGAATTTTTTACTTTCTCTACCCCAGGGCCTATGGGATGGATCGTCATGCATTCAGCGTTCGCTGAACCATCCGGTGCAGGGATGTCACGGGTTGAGAAAAATGTCGGGTCGGGTTTCGGGTCGGGTTTCCAAAATTTTTCTCGGATCGGGTTTCGGGTTTCGGGTTGAGCAAAAAGTCGGGTCGGGTTTCGGATCGGGTTTTCAAAATTTTCTTCGGATCGGATATCGGGTTTCGGGTCGAAAAAAGCCAAAATTTTGAGAATTTTGGAAGGCCAAAAAGCAAAAAACTTCCCTTCTTAGCGCCGCAGGCGAAAATTTTGAGAATTCTGGAAGGTCCGAAGCCAGATTTCTTCCTTTTTCAGCGCCGCAGGCGTAAATTTTCAGAATTTTGGAAGATCATTAAGCTAAAAATCTTCCCTTTTTCTCCGACGAGGGCGAAAATTTTGAGAAAACTCGGGTCGGGTTTCGGGTCGGGTTTTGAAAAATAAAAATTCTCGGGTCGGGTTTCGGGTCGGGTTTTAGAAATTTTCTCGGATCGGGTTTCGTGTATCGGGTCGAAAAAAAGGCCGGGTTTCGGGTTTCGGGTATCGGGTTTCGGGTAACCCGTGACATCCCTGATCCGGTGCTACCAGTAAAGCAGCTGGGCTATAGCTATTTCTCTCCTTTAGCTAGAGCAAAAGGTTAATCGGCGGCTGGGAGCGAACCAGCATCTTCAGTAGCCGGACTGATGTGTTAGCCATTACACCACGCCGCCTACTGCTCAGCCTTAGGAAATTAATAGCTATATGATTTACAATAACCAACAAGCTTAAGGAAATGAAAGATAGTGTAAAAAAAGGAAAGCTTGTTGCAACAAGTATTTTTCTTCTTAAAACAAGTGTTTTTCTTATAAATTATTTTTAAATAGCAAATTTTCTACCTGAAAAAATAAAGTACAGGAGCATTTGCACTGTAAGCAATAATGCTTAAATGGGAGGTAATAAATGTTATAAAATTTTTTGTGACTACATCAACAGTCACAAAATTATATAATTGTCTTAAAACATTATTTATAAATACTCCAATCAAATTCAAAATTATAATAGTTATCAAAGATTTTATAATTCTGCGATTGGAGGTAGAAACAGCTTTGAATTTCAATATTTTTTTTTAAATTTTATTTTAAATTTCTACCATTCCCCACGTTTTTTCTTAAAAACACAAAAAACCATATTAAAATATATGTAATCATTAATATCCCACTGAGAATAATTCCATTAAAATACATTATAACAGACCAACTGCCACGGCCTGTATCATAACTTGAACAAGTAACCAAACTAAAATATAATTTTTAAAAGATAATAATTTTTGAAACTATAATCTACTCAAATAATTATTAAACTTCCTATTGTAAGGCCGGGATCATACTAAAAACACGTGAAGAGCAATCATCGCTCTAAGTAGCGGAAGTTCCCAGAGAAAATGCAAAGAACGCAACAAACGGCCATTCCCAGAGAGTTATTATCCGCCCCTTATCTAAGCTTAACATCGCCACTAACTTATACTTGGGAAAGCAATAAGGAAGATGCTTTTGTATTTCTTATCTATATTGATAGATATCCTTAGAGAAATTTTTTTGGATTTTTTGATTGCTAAATAAAAATTTTATGAGGGGGTGCATATACTTTTGGAACAGTGAATTTTTGCATAAATGTGTATAAAAATGAAACGGGATGGGGGAAATTTTTATTTTTTTGTTTAAACATACACATTTATCTAGAAGAATAGATAGACAAAAAATCTAATCAAAATAACAAAGAAAAATGTATAAAAAATCAAAAAACTAGGGGTGCATATACTTTTGGAACGCAGTGTATAAGCTTTAATGGAATAGGCAAAAATAGATCACTTCTTCATTCATTCAACAGAGTTGCCGGCCGGCCAATCCATCCTTGTAGGAAAGATATATATTCTCTATATATTCTAATTATATTCTATATATCTATCCCTATATTCCCCCACTGCGAGCGATTAACTTATTTCTATACTCTGCGGAGTTCACACATGATTGCAACATGCGCAACTCTGCTAATAATATCAACTGAACAACGAGGCCCTGGGTAACGGGACCAACCGCTTTACTCTATTAATAACCCACGAGAGGTTGAAACACTAGTTATCACTGTAATTATTTAAATAAGCTAATAAAAATTTTTGAAGTTATACAAGAGGATTTTTACGAACAGGATCTAAATAATTTGAGTGTTGTTTGAAATAATTTTTTATTTTTTTAATAGAAACGCTACATATATTCTCTAACCTTTTAATATTTTGAAATTTTAAAATTAA